GAACTCACGTTCAGAGAATCTCACCAGTTCACCTATGCCATCGCCATCTTGCTTCTATTCTTCACTTCTTTTTTTAAAAATAAAGTTTTAAAACAAAGCTTATTAGAGAAAGAAGATAGAAAAGAAAGACACGCTAGAGCTGGCACAGGTGAAAAAAAAACTGTCTATGCAGTACTAGTTTCATAAGACTATTTCAAAAACATTCCTCAATGAAATCTAACAACGAAATAAAACCACTGTACAACATTTTAGGGAATTTGTATATGTTGGATTGGAAATTTGTATATGTTGGAGTAGTATTTTTCTCAGAGTACCTCCGAGCAATAAATAATCATGAACTATCTTTCAATTTCTAGAAAATTTGATGAGTTTATTTTCTGATGGGAGGTAGGCAACATTACACAGGAAAACCCTTATTCTTTGCACATTTTCATGCATTTGCCCTGTTACCTAGAAATCAGAAGCCCTGCACGAACTTGTTTTTTATAGAATCCAAATCTACAAATGTTGCTTTCATATTCAGTCCTAAGTTCTGTGTCTGTTTTTCTTTACAGCCTACTAGTAATGTCGACACACCACCTTTGTTGGTTCAAATATTAGCAAGTATATTTTTCCAGAAAATAGAAAGCTGTTTTTAGGCCCAAGAGGATGGTAGGACTCCAGAACATGGTTTTTCTATCCTGTCCCCTGAAATTGTGCTCTTTACTTTTTAAGCATTAAATTTAGTGCGTCCAAACAGAAGCAGTATTTTCTCTCCCCTTCCACCTCAATTTATACAATTAAGTATTGGCCAGATGGAAAATTTAAAAACGCAGATCTAAGATGACCCTTGGAAACCTAGATTTAAATAAGCATAGTAAATTTGAGTATCATGCTAGTGATAAAGCAATGTTCAAAACAATTATGTCCTACGGATATGTAAATATGCAGCTTAGACTAAATGCGATGAGTTATAAAACAACTTACAATTGAGATTCCATCCAAAGCTTTCAGTTCTGGAAGATGAAATATTACAAACAAACGGTAGTTTTCTTGATTCCATATAATAATGTTTCCATACATGTCTAGAATGACCAAGTTGCACAAACCCTAGGTATTAAAAACATAAACATTTTAATATATGTGTATATAAAGCACTTCAGCAAGTTATTTTAAGAGGTGAACTATTCTTGAATTTTAATATTTGAATTATCTATCATTTCATAGAATTTCAGTGCTTTTAAGTGCACTTTTAAGTTCAAGGATTTCCTTTCAGACTACTAAGGTATAATTTTTCCCAGTATTTCAATGGTTTATGCTATATGATCAGAATCATTTTTGAGATACTGGTGCCAAATGTATTAGTGATCAGTGGTAAAGGTTAAGAGGGAACTTTGGTATGTTTAAGATAATATACTTTATTTTATGGAATAATGAATGACCTATCAACTGGTAGGTATGTGTATATACAGATATAACAGGAATAAAAGACACTGTCATTTGAAAAAGGATAAAACTGAAATGCTTCTGCCTTCTGAGAGAGTAGCAGAATTCATCCTAAGGCATGGTTTTTCTACCCTGTCCTATTAAGGAATATATGGTGTCTTATTGTACCAGACACTTTGATATGCTTTTGTTGTGAAGGAAAAGTTCTAAGCAGGTGTGGAAGGAAGACAAGAGGGCATAAAACTACTGTGTATCATAATGTAAAATAGTTTATTTTGTTGCGGAGGTTGATTAGGGTGCCTCTGTAGCTCTGAAAGTGGTAGTCATGTTGGGGGAATAGGATAAGGAGAAAGCTGAACATAAGGAAAGACAGGAAATAGACATAAATTTTTATAGGGAGATAAAATTCTAGCAATATTATATCAGAAGAAGGAGAGGTCAGTGTTAGGAAATGGCCTTTGAACTTTACAAAAAGCGAAGTCACACATTATATTTGACATAAACTCCTATTTGGTGCTGTAGACACCTTCCATTTTGTTCATACCTTTAGTAAATCCTGCTACACAGTAGCCTTGGATTAGTGATTTCTTTGGGGAAAAAAAATCAAGCAAAGGTAACCAAGTTTGAGTCACTGGTATGAGAAGTGAAAAATAATAAAGAATTATACTGAGAACAGGCAAATGTTTAAGAATCCTACTTCCCTAATCTGGTTGGGGAATCCTTGAAAATATTGAAGAAGGCTCTAGTTAGGAGAAATAGGTTTGGATTATTTTACTTGAGTATTAAAAAAAGTTGTCCCAGAAGGTTATCAAATTGGAGACACTATGGTTATACATACATATGTGTATTTGTATACATAAATTAAATGCAAATATATTTTAATAAACCTTGCTATTCTTATTTTAATTTTCTTCCTATTTTTCTATATTTTCCAACTTCTGTACAGTGAACCTGCATTACTTTCATAGTATGAAGAAACAAAACATATTTTAAAAACAAAACATTACTACGCCAGATGATCACCTTTAAATTGTAGATCTCCTGATTGACAGCAATATAGTTATTGCTTATGTATAATTCTACTAGAGTATAAGTTTTTTGTAAACCACTCAGTGAAGTGATTCTGTTGTTCTGAAGAGAAAGGGAATGAAGATGAAGCATGTTATCAAAAGTATGCTTTTCCAAACCAGTGAGAAGATTATTATTTATGCTGAGGCGAGTTAATTTAGTCAGCTTGGAAATTCCTAGAAAAATAAGCAAATTTAAGAAAATATTCAGATAACTTTAAAAGGTTAATTTAAAAAAATAACTGGCTTGTCGTTTTATTGTTAATCAAACAGCTAAGTTCAAATGACCATAAGGATTCTATAACATTATCCATCATTGCTTTTCATTTTGTTTCAGAAGGAAATAATTTGTGTATAAAGTCCCATGTTATATATTAATTCTAATTTTGAATTTTTAAATGGAGTCATTCCTCTAAGGTGTTAAGAAAATATTCTGTAGAAAGGAGTTCTGTAGAAAATATTGAATTTCTCTTTCAAAAAGCCTTAAAATGATAACATTAATTAAAATTTTCACCATCATGACTGCATAAAACTCTATACAAAGCTTGAAATAATCACCAGCCCTTGTCTTAAAATATTAAGAGTAAGGAACTACAGTACAACACTCTGGAAAGTGTTATTCCTAACAGTATTAAAAAGAACTATTTCATCTATTTCTACCTTTGTATGCTTAGAAGCATCCAGCACAGAAATGTAGAAAATGGGACCTCTCACCAAAGTCTCATTCCTATGTACATTATGTATTATTGCAGGCACTTTATAGCTATAGGCGGCATGGTATAGTTGAAAGATAAGAACTTTGGAATCATAGTTGGTTTTAAATGTATCACTACTAGATTTGGACACATAGGTAACTTATGTAAACCCTAGACCTCAGTTTCCTTATCCATAAAATGGACATACAGAAATCTACTTCCAAAGAGTTATAAAATTAGGTGGAAGCCAGGCTCGGTGGCTCAGCCCGTAATCCCGCGCCTTTGGGAGGCTGAGGTGAGTGAATTGCCTGAGCCCGCGGGTTCGAGACCCGCCTGGGCAGCGAGACCTCATCTCTACAATAAATAAAAAAAAAATCAGCCGGGCGTGGTAGCGCATGCCTGTAATTCTGGCTACTTGGAAGGCTGAGGTGGAAGGATCGCCGGACCCCAGCAGGTCGAGGCTGTGGTGGCCGGGAGCGGCCACTGCACTCCAGTCTGGGCGACAGAGTGAGACTTCAACTCAAAAAAAAAAAAAATTGGGTGAAAGAATGCTCAAAAATCATCAGTTACAGCTTTTGGCAAATAATTGTCTGTGCTTTCCTTTCATGCCAGCCCCTACTGTGGGACTATGCAATGTAAACCAACCTAGGACAAGCTAGGATAAAGTTAGCCTGACAAAAATAATTAAATGGTTATTACACCTAACCATGTCTAAGAAAAATAAACTTCTGTTCAAGTTTAGAGGAGTAGCTATCTTCACTGAAAAGTAGGTATAAGAAAAATATAGATTGGAGGATACTTCTCTTTAATAGGTTTATGAAAGAAAAAGAAAAGGAAATGGGTTTCTTAAATTGCATATACAAAACAAAACTAATACTCAGCTGTATGGGAATGGAAGGCTGGTGATGGCTTTACACACAGATGCTTAAGCTATCCCCAGGTTTACTCAACTGAAATCTACAAAGGAGAGGTCTGTGAATCTGTATATTCAATAAATATCCCAAGTAATTCTCATGATCAAGACAGTCTTAGAAACAGTGTTAAAATAAAATATAACAAATGTTATACATGCTGTTTTTTTAAAAGATATTTAATACTTTTAAGTATATAATTTTTTGAAATCAAAATTTTATTTTATGAAAAACAGTATACACAAATGCTAAAAATATTCCAATTGAAAAGTGAATAAGGTGTAAATTAAGTCTCTTTCCCAGTCATGATTTCTAATTCTTACCTTCCCTCTTTGACCAACACAGCTATGTTACCAAAATGCACATACAGAAATACTCTTGACTCAGATAAGTATGACTTTCAGATAAATATGCATATTTGTGTGTGTATACACACACATATATACATATATATATATATATATATATATATATACACACATATATACACACAATATATTTTCAATCAAATGGTGCACATCTGTGGGCACAATCTTTTTAATTCCTGGAAGTTAGTCACCCCTTTGAGGAGATAGGAAGAATAAGAGAAAGTTGTTAGCAAGTCATGGAAAGTTTCTTTCAATTTCTTTCCAAGTTCAAAGCATTAAATGAAGGTAGGAATAAGATAAAGCTAGGAAGGAGTCAGAAAAAATTGAACTTAGATTATTCTGGAACATGTTTTCTAAGCTTAGATTTTTAGAGGCAGATAAGCATAAATCCAAATAAGTGAAGAATCTAAGAAGCTTGGAAGGAGAAAGGGAGAAAAAGTATTTTTTATTTTCTCTGATCCAGAAAAATATGACTCAATACTGAACTTTAAACAGTCAAATAAAGTGCATTATAATGATCTCATTATTATTTAAACATTACTAAAGTTGCTTAATTGTACTTGTATATGGATTATATATAAAAGGTTATATGTAGTACATTTTATTTTCAACCTATAGTGAATATAATTTTCATTTTTGTTAAAGTTTTCAAACTTCCAAATGTAAACTTAATTCTATATTTTGAAAAATAAACTAGATTGCTTTATCTTTTTTAAAAGCATACATCATTCATTCATTTATTTATTCAATTTTACACACATTATACCTAGTTTGATGTGCTGGGTTTTGTTATGGACTGTGAACTGGCAAGAGAGAAAAGAAAGAAGGCGGAGGAAGTGAAAGTTTGTTGGGCTCCATATATGGTAGTCACATTTCACTAATAGGTATTCGTTTATTTTAACGTTTATTTTAATTTGTTATTTAATTTATCTCTAATTCTTAAAATTCAACAAAGAATATTACACATATTTATCTTGCACAACATGGTGTTTTGAAGTGCATATACACTGTAGAATTGTTAAATCTAGCTAATTAACAACCGCATTATCTCATGTAGGTATTTAGAATATTCTGCCACAAAACTTGGAACTTCTCTAGAGATCCTCTTCTTCAGAAACTGTGCTCAGTGTTATTAATTTTTTTGCTTTGTTGTTTAGATATTCCTATTTTGAGACTTCAACATTCTCAAGTACCTTACCTTCTATCTTTGAAATGCAGTTTCCATCTAATGTGAGCTCTTCCAAGTTAATACAGGATCCCAAACCTTCCATTTTAGTGAGGTTATTGTTGCTAAATGATGCCCATTTCAAATTTTCCAATTTTTCTAAATTTGTGATTTCAAAGAGATGTTGTCCATCTAAATTTAAGGCGGTTATCTGTAGAATAATTTACATTTACATTATATGTTACTTCTGAATCTTGTAAATTAATTCAATGAATGTTATGATATTATAAAAGCTAATGAAATAATTCAAATGTGATAAATAAATATCAAAAGAATTCCTCCAGGAACTAAAGATATTGTGAAGCTCTTAGTTTACAACAAAGTAAAATTTGGCAAGATTATAACTTCAAGAAGAACTTATATGGTATCACAGACACTGTGATGTACCAGTCCCACTGCAGTGAAGGATTTGTCCCAGCTGCTGGGAGAGCTGTTGGCAGAGAGCCTTTAGCTGTCAGCCTCTCTCGGGACTGCCTCAGTTGCAGGGAGTGCCTTGCCCAAGGTCACGCTCCTTCCCAGACTGGTGCGCAGTCAATGATGGAGAGACAGAAAGGCCTGACCATCTCAGCCCAACTTGGGAGCAATTCTAATTCCAGAACTCTTTGTGGGAATAGCCATGGTTGTTACTGGGCCTTCACCAAAGCTGTGTGTGTGTGTGTGTGTGTGTGTGTGTGTGTGTGTGTGTGTGTGTGTGTGTGTGTGTGTGTGTGTGTGTGTATGTGTGTGTGTGTGCGCGCGCGCGCACACATCTCCTGTCATAAAAATAATGCCACTAATGTCTTCCATTTTCAAGGGCCGGTTTCCCCTAGTCCAGTTTCTATCTTTGGCAAGAGGTATAAAGACACCTAATGTAGCCAAAAAGCTTCTGGTGCTCTACAACCTTTTCCCTTACCCTTGGCCGAATTCTGCCCAGTTCCCCTTATTCCTTCGCCAGTATTCCTGATCCCCTGCCACCCACATTTTATCTTGATATCTGGCTCTGAGACTTGAAAGTTTGCCTATTTTGACATGTTATCAGAATCTACCCTACAGTTTGTAGTGTACCTTTATCCTAAATCTCCAGATTTATGATGACTGTAGTTAAGGCCTAACCCCTGTAATATAACTACTCACAACCTGACTTCTGTACTTTATTTTCATTTGTTGCAATGTAGTACATTTACTATATTGCTATTTTTCTAATAATAACATTGTCTTTTATTTTTTTCCAATTTTATTGAGGTATAATTGACCATGTAAAATTCCATATAATTAAGACGTACAACTTGATTTGGTATAGGTATACACTGTGAATAAATACTGCATGATCTCAATTATATGTGAAATCTAAAGTAGTCAAACTTATAGAAGGAGAAAGTAAAATGGTAGTTGCCAGGGGCTTGGGGCAACAGGAAATGGGGAGATATTGGTCAAGATGTACAAAGCTTCAGTTATACAATATGAGTAAGTTCTGGAGAGCTAATGTACAACACTATGACTGAAGTTAGTAATACTGTATTAAATACTTGAAATTTGCTAAGACACTAGATCTGAACTGTCTCAACCCTCTCTTAATTAATCTTTTCCAGCTTACTGCCCCTTATCTATCTGTGCCCTCTTTATGATAGACAGACCAAAGCTGACTAAAAAATAAATTTAAATTAAGCTTTTATATTAGGTTTAATAGAATTAGACTTTACCTTCAAGTACCAGTTTCCACTCAGATGTGAATGTGGCCCTAACTTTGAAATCTGTGTCAGAATTTTGGCAGATGGCCATATACTAAGTATCCGTGGTCTTTCCTCTTTAGTACTAGAATGCCGTAAGAGAGATAACTAATAAAATTTAAAAGAAGAAGAAAAAGAAGTGTAAAGGAAACAACATACAGGAGTTAATTGAGATATAGCTTAAAATATCATTTTCTAGAAAAAATGAGTGATCCAATAAATAAATTTTAAAAGAACATTTCCTTTACTTAAAATATTTTCATTATCTAGATACATTTTAATTATTCACTCTTTTGTTTTAGCAAATACTGAACCAATACAAGATAATACTTATAAGACTGTGAAATGATTATTATAATGCAAACACCCATATAATCTACCCATGAAACCAGTTTAAGAAGTACAGTATTACTAATAACACACAAAACTCCCTGTGGGCCCCATCCTAAGCCCTTTCCTCTCTTCCTTCCCCTTAGAAGCAACCACTGTCCCCGATTTTTTGTCTACCATTCACTTGCTTTCTTTATAGTCTTGTTTGTGTACATAAACAGATATATGATTTAGTCTTCCATCTATATGAACTTGATGCAAATTGAATAATATAATAATTATATAAATATATCAATTGAATAATATTCTTCTAGGACTTGTTTTTTTGTTCAGCATCATATTCATGAGATTCATCTGTGCTTTTGTTTGTAGCTGTAGTTCATTCACATGTACTCTATAATCTGCATAGAATTTTCCCCTTAATGGCTCTGTCAATGAACACTGGGGTGGATTCATTTTTTGCTAATATAGACACTGCTGTCATGAATTTTCTTGTGTATGTTTCCTGGTACATACATGCAAGAGTTTCTTTAGCGTATATGCCCTTAAGTTTTATATATATATATATACACACATATATATATTTTTTTCCAGCTTTTGCTTTCCAAAATGGTTGTGCTAATTTTATAACCTTTACTTCATATCTTTGCTACAACTTTATATTGTCAGACTTTAAAGTTTTTGCCAGTCTATAAAACTGGCAAAATTGGTAGGTCATTGTGACTTTAATGTCCATTTTCTGGAATACTAACATGGTGAACATCTTTTCCTGAGTTAATTGACTGTTCTGATTTCCTCTCCAGTCAAGTGTTGGTTCAGATCTTTTGCACATTTTTCTGTTTGATTAGTTGTCTTTTTTTCTTATATATTCTGGATATGTAAAGAATATCTTTTGTCACTAGTGCTGCAAATTTATCTTCTCAGTACGTAGTTTGTCTTTTTACTTTCTTTGAGGAAAAGACATTAATTTTAATGTAGACAAATCCAATCATTTATGGTTTATGCTCTTTGTTTCTTGCCTAATAAATTCTTCTAATTCAAGATCATAATGATAATCTTGGCTATTTTCTTCAAAAAATTTTTGGCTGGATGTGGTGGTTCATGCTTGTAATCCCAGCACTTTGGGAGACTAAGGTGAGATGATTGCTTGAACCCAGGAGTTAAAGACCACCCTAGGCAACATAGCAAGCTTATGTCTCTACAAAAAGCACAAAATTAGCCAGGTATGATGGCACACACCTATAGCCCCAGATACTCGGGAGGCTGAGGTGAAAGAATCACCTAAGCCCAGGTGGTCGAGTCTGCATTGAGCTGTGATTGAGTCACTGCACTTCAGCCTGGGTGACAGAGTGAGATTTTGACACCAAAAAAAGAAAAAAAAAATTTTCTTTTTTGGTTTTGCCTTTTACAGTGAAGTCCCTCATGTACTTGTCCCAGTGCCTTTTACTGAATCACCTCCCTGATATGAAAAGGCAGCTCTGTTACTTATCACGTTTCCATAGATGAATAGGTCTATATTAGGTCTTTATTCTGTTCCACTGTTCTATTTGTCTAATGCTGCACCAATACCACATTGTCTTAAAGGATTTTAGTAGGCTATGATTTCTTAGGGTAAATTCCCAACTCTTCTTCAAGACTGTTATCTATATTTTTATCAACACATTTTTTAATCAAAAAATTTTCCATCGTTTTAAATAGATCCAAAATTAAACATTACATTGCTTAAGGAATTAATATTCAAATACCTCACAAAAATTAAACAGCTAGATAACTAAGAGTGGATATAGTTAGGATGTTGAAGCTCCTATGGTTAAAGTACAGTATCCTTATTCTGGATAATAAAGATGTTTCCCCTCCCCCCATGTTAATATGTTTTGTTTTTGTCAGACACATACAACATCAATACTAAGTAGATAATTCACTGAATGCTTTTGCAAGGCCTCAGAAAGTTACTTATTTTCATGTAGGGTCTAGAAAGGACTTTGGTGAGTTCAGTTGACTAGGAAAAAAACAGTTACCCTAGAGATATTTTTAGGGTAATGTTTAGGGATGAATCAAAATAATTCATATCACTGGTTGGTATTTAAATGGAGTATATTTAAACAGAAAAAAATCAAGTGTATGACTCCTATATATTAATTTTTATTAACATGCTAAGAGGGAATACAAAATCTTAATGATAGAAAAAGAGTATGGAAAACATTATTTATATGTTCTAAAGAACACAAGAAATATTAAACAGTAAAATTCGACCTGAGTAATCCTTGTTCCAGTAATAAATTTCATAGCTGCTGTTACTTCCTCTTCAGAAATGCGGAGTCCATTTAAGTGTGTAAGAGATTTTAATCTGGCAATAACACTCAGTCTCAACGTGGCTGGCTTCGGAAAAATAGAAAAAAGTTAATATTCACAAAATATTACATATATTATGGCATGGAAATGAGTGCTTTTTCATTCCTTTCCATTAAATTCAAATTTATGCATCTCCTTCTTTATTTTATATATATATAAAGACAGGTATAACTTAATTATTTAAATAATAGTTTAAATAAAATTATACTTAAGAATTAATCTAAAAAGAATCTGTTTTATAGATTTCTAATTAATCTGGTGAAGGGGGGAAATTGCATAAGCTGTTGAAAGTGACTATGATGAAAACTGTTAAAAGAACAACTGTAGTGACGTCTTTATCTAGATCAACAATAAGTTAGTGATCCCCATATGTGATTCAGTATGGCTCTTTAGCCCTGGCAATCCAATCTGGCAACAGGGAGATAGTTGAATTGTGATTATCCAGGAAGTATGCTTTGGCAAAAGAAAAATATTCTTCAATTTTACTGAGTAAAAAAGAAACAAAATAATATAAACTTAGAAATATGGCCAATTTAATAGAACAAATCATGCGCCAGCTCCATTTAAAAATGATGAACAGAGCCTTATATAAATATTTTAAAGACAGAGAAAAGAAGATTCTTGAAATTATAAACTTGGGACTTATTTTAAATACTTGAAGATATGCTTAAATATAGTCGGTAAATGTGGAAATTACTTAACACTAATCTACATATTTTGCGATGAGAAAAAATAATGTTTAAAAAATTTCTTTTTATAACAGTCTTTTTAGACTTTATAATTCAAATGTATGAAGGGAGGTGATTTCTGTACTTAAAACAGAGAACACTGCACAATGCAAAGTAAAATTGTAACACATGTTTCTCAACCACCAATTAGGATTTATTATAAGTCAAATTGTTTCCTACTTTATAGTATGCGTCTCCTACTGCATTATATTGTTCTTGGCTCCTACGCCTCATTAAAGTAGGATTCTGGCACACTGACCTATATAAATTCCCCAGAAGTTTGCAAATGGCAATGACATCAATCATGCAAAGAAATAATGTTCTCAAACCATTAGAAGTTACAAAAAAAATCTGATTTGAAATTATAGTCTTTTCTTTTAGCAACGCTTGATTTATTTCATCACTACATTAATCCAATTTATGAAAGATTTAAAAGAAGTCTAGAAAAACACAAACAGTTTGCCTATTTCTGGCTATTATTGAAGAGTAAAATAGTATGAAAATGGCCTTAAAATAAATGTTTGCTTTTTTATAAACAAATCTGTTGCATACCTTTTGCCATGGATTATGTTGAATATCAAGAGTGAGAAGGCTTGTGGTGTGTTTGCATAACATGTTTATTTCATCGCCAGATTTTTTCAGTTGATTCCAGCTCAAGTCTAAGTGCTTCAGTTTCATCAGCCCTCTAAATCCCTCAAGGGTTATCACATGGTTATGGCTTGCATCCAAATATTCAAGATTATACTGCAACACATAGACACAGAAATGCTGCTAAGATAATTATAATTTGTACTTACAAAATATTTTCCCTATGGTTCTCTAAATACTTTCTGGTAACCATCACAGCAAACCTAAACAGTAGTTATATTGCAATAGTAGTATCAACATATGTATTTGCCCAAAGAGCTACAAGTATTTCATGATAGCAATTCTCTCTTAATTCATATTTTACCTTTGTAACATAGGGTGGCAGTATTTGTTTTCACAGGAGAGAAGACACAAAGAAACTGGCAAGATGATTTTCCCCCAATAAACAAGAAATGTAATTTTTAATATATAGGTTTCTGGTTTATACACTTGACCCCATATCCTGGTTTAAAAACACTCAACTTCAGAGGTAGAAACTAAACCTATTGATTCAATACTATATTTTTCTTTTTAAAAGGTACACAATTTTTAATAGTTTTTGTCATAAAAGTAATACATATTCCTTGTTGGAAATGTGTAAAATATAGTAAATAAATGAAAAGAAAAAATAGAAAGCATATATAATTGTATTGCTCAGAAAGAACCACTTAAAATGTTGTTTTTATTACATGCATTTTTTCTTATATAAAACAGATGCACAGAATTTTGTATCCTTTTTGACATTTTCATTATCAAATATCCTCCAAAATGATTTTTCATGACTAGATAATAGTCTAATGTGTGGTTTATTATAATTGTTTTAAACATTTTACTGTGGACCTTTATGTTTCTAATTGTCGGCAACACAGCAACGAACATCCATAAGCATTATACTTTAACTGCAACTCAAATATTTTTAAGATCAGGTTTTTAGAAAAAGGATTACTGGTTCTAAGAATTTCCATATTGTTAAGACTCTTAATAAATATTGCCAAATAGATTTCAAGGAAGTTTTTCGCTTGCCCTTGGACCGTAAATGTTGCACAGTGGTTGACTGGATACAGTTCATCACATCTGCCAATGCTCAGGCTGACTGACATGGATCATCATGGATTAAAGTGTTTAAACAGTCTTTATCAAAGCCCGATGGTCTTCCTGAATGTGGAGAATCACTCAGGTCAAAGTAGTTCTCTTTGAAATGACAAAAGAATCTTCTTGCCCTGCTTTCCCTGGTGACATTCTCCCTATATATGGCACAAATACTTTGAGCTGCCTCCACTGCCTTCACTCCTCTGTTAAACTCAAACAGAAGAATATGTTGGAAGTGTTAGGTTTTTTCCACTTGACACTCCATCTTCTTTAGCCCACAAATAGAACTAACTTTCTTCAAATCTACAAAATGCAAGGCGTATTCACAGGCACAACATTGTCACTCCAAATAACAAACAATAAACAAACGCCCAACACCACAGTGTCACCATATCAAAAACAAACCCTACAAACTTATGCATCAACTTAATATATACCCAGACCCAAAACTAAGAAAAGATAAAGAGAACTTGAAGAAAATATTCTATAACATGTTTTTATTTTATTTTATTTTATTTATTTATTTATTTATTTTTTGAGTTGGAGTCTCCCTCGGTTGCCCAGACTGGAGTGCAGTGGCTGCTCCCAGCCACCGCAGCCTCGACCTGCTGGGCTCCGGCGATCCTTCCGCCTCAGCCTTCCAAGTAGCTGGAATTACAGGCATGCGCCACCACGCCCAGCTGAGTTTTTTTTTATTTATTGTAGAGATGAGGTCTCACTGCCCAGGCGGGTCTCGAACCCGCGGGCGAGGGTAATCCACTCACCTCAGCCTCCCAAAGGCGCGGGATTACAGGCTGAGCCACCGAGCCCGGCTGAACATGTTTTTAAAATACAAATAATATTCTGTCAGTTAAAATGAACTGTTGGTGCAGGGTGGGGGATGAGGTGTCTGGAATTCCATGCCTGCCATGGTTTTCTGGAATCTGTGCACTCAGAGAGACCTTTGCTGGCTTCACGATGATTAACCCATCCAAAGTGCAGGCTAGTAAAACCTCTGTGGAAAGCAGTGATCCCTAAAATAACTAAAAACTGACTTCCATATGATTCAGCAATGCATCTCCTGGGAATATATATACCTGGAGGAACATAAATTGTAGTCCCCAAAAAAGACACCAGCACATACATGTTTACAGCTGCACTATTCACAATAACAAAAACATGGACCAACCCTACTGCCCATTAAAAGTGAACTGGATAAAGAAAATGTGGTACATATACATGATGGAGTACTACACAGCCATAAAGAAGGACAAAATCATGAACTTCGCAGCAAACTGGAAGGAGTTGGAGACCATCATACTTAGTGATCTATCACAGAAACAAAGAACTGAATACTGCATGGTCTCACTAATAAGTGGGCCCCGAACTCTAGTCACATTAACACAAGGGAGGAAGCTGCAGTCACTGGGCACTGCCAGGAAAGGAAGGGGGAGGAGCACATAATAACACAAAGGATACCTGGTCCTAAGCCAGGGGAAGTGAGAGCCAGATGGAGGCCCAAACTTTACCTGCATACAGCCTACTTGTGTAGTTAACCTTTACTTGTACCCCACATCTCTATAATAAAAAAAATTTTAAAAATGAGTGGCAGAAAGATATGAGTTCAAATCCAAGACAAAGCTAGAGAGAGGAAGGGAGAGAGAGAGAGAGAGAGAGAGAGAGAGAGAGAGAGAGAGACAGAGACAGAGACAACGACTAATACTACTGACAGCAATAAAAGTACACCAGAAAGGTATACTCAAGAAACATATTGTGACTATTAACATACCATTTCAAAACAAGCAAAAAGATGTTAAGAATGATATGACATAAAATAACAACATAAATTTGAACTAGAAAAACCAGAAGTAGAGTGAAAAAAACCCCAGAAAACACTGAAATAAAATAATAAAATAATTCATAAAATTATTTCCTGATCAAAACCCCAGATTCTCATGCCATAAGAGATAAGATAGACACGTGGGACCTCGTCAAACTGAAAAGCTTCTACAAAGCAAAAGAAACCATCAAAACAGTGGGGAGACAGTCCACAGAATGGGAAAAAATATTTGCCAACTGTATATCTGACAAAGGCTTGACATTTAAGATCTACAAGGAACTCAAATGTGCTGAAAGGAAAAAAAAAACAGACAACTCTATTAAAAAGTGGGCAAAAGATATGAACAGACACTTCTCAGAAGAAGATATACAAGCAGTCAACAGATACATGAAAAAAATGCTCAGCCTCACTAATCAAAGAAATGCTAATTAAAACCACCCTGAGATACCACCTAACTCCAGTCATCATGGTCATCATCAATAACTCAAAATACAACAGATGCTGGAGAGGATGTGGGGAAAAGGGATCACTTCTATACTGTTGGTGGGAATGTAAATTAGTACAACCTCTGTGGAAAACAGTGTGGCAATTCCTAAAAGATCCAAAAATCGACTTTCTGGGAGGGACACAACATCAATAAGGGTACTTGATCAAACGAGTGAAGTGGGAACAAATGGAGGCCCAAATTTTACCTGTATGATAACCACTTGTATACCTAATCCTGAATTGTAACCCACATCTTTAAAATAAATAAATAAATACAATCGACCTTCCATACCACCTTCTGGGAATATACCTGGAGGAACTCAAATCACTCTACAAAAAAGATACATGCACATGCATATTTATTACAGCATTATTCACAATAGCAAAAATATGGAACCATTCGTGCTACTCATCGAAAGTGGACTGGATTTTAAAAAGTGGTATATATACATGATGAAATATTCTGCAGCCATAATGAAAGACAAAATTATGGACTTAACAGTAACTTGAATGGATTCAGAGTCTATAATATTCAATGATCTATCACAGAAACAAAGATCTGAGTACCACATGTACTCACTCATAAGTGAACCCTGACATTTATCATAATACTATAAGAAAGGGATTGGCAGTAGGGAGACACTGCCAGGGGAGGGAGAGGGGGCACATAACATCAATAACTACCTGATCTAAAACCAGGTGAAGTGGAGACCAAAGGAAGGCCCAAACTTTACCTGTATGAAGATCACTTATGTACCTACTCCTGAATTGTACCCCACATCTTTGAAATAAAAAAGAATGGGAGACACCTCTTATCAACAAGGATGCCTGAACGAAGCATATTTGTATACCTAACCCTTAACTGTACCCCACAATATCATAATAAAAAATTTTATTATAAAAAAAATGAAAAAGAAAAAAGAAGAAATAAAGGCTAAATTAGTCAAACACGAGAGAGAAAAGATACAACTTACTCAAGTTTGCTTTTGATTAGTAAGAAGGAAAAAATATTAAAAAGAGTGGATAAACATAAAAATAATGCTCTAAGAGAAATACAAGGTGGATAAAACAACAAAAAATGAGATATAAATGAAGAGAAAAAAGATTCAAGAGAAAGGTACAAATATCAAAGAGAGATTAAAAAAAGATTCTACATATGGATAATGGGAGTCCTTGTAAAAGAAAACGAAAGCAGGGAAACAAAAAAATTGCTAAAAACTTCCTACTCAAAACAACTTTCCTAAAAGAAAAAAATGATTTCAAACTATACTTTAGAAGATCATATTGTGAATCTGAAATATCAACCCATAACAACCAACACCAAGACAAATTCTAGTACAATTTGAGACTTCAAGGAAAACCAAAAAAAGTTATTTGGTCACCTAGAAGAAAAAAAGTTAGTGATTCTCTCACTCTCATTAGACTTTTCTACAGCAACACCCTGTGACAGAAGAAAATAAAGTAACATGTAAGATGCTTTAAAAAAGAAAATTGTGAGCCAATGATTTTGTATCTAGAAAAACTGCCTTTCAAGTGTAAAGGACATAGCCAAACTGTTATTAACATGCAATATCTGAAGGAACACTGTTAACATAAGCCTTTTCTAAAAAAACATAATAAAATATATTTCAATCAAAATATTTATAGATATCAACATAGGGACTGGTGATGAGAATTCAATAAACATGACTAATTAAAAGGGAGAGTGTACAGCATATAAGGCTCAATGCTGTGACAATGTAGACGCAATATAATTATTTTAATTATTTTTAAAATGGGGAAGAACATACACAAAATTTTTCAAAAATCTTTCCAGTAAGTAAAATTGGTGAGATTATAAGTAATGTCATTTTGAGACTCTGTGTATAAACAGGTGATAAAATAACTTTTTATATTCTAACTCTAACATCTTGTAGAGAGTCAAGATTCTTGGTTTGAGAAAAATAGTATAGATGTAAATAAGATGTTAAAAGCTTTGTAGTCTTGAATCTGAATAGAAAGTATCAAAATGAATTCATGAAGTTATTTTTAGTTATAAAACACACACACACACACACACACACACACACACACACACACTTGCAAGGTCTGTCTAGTAAAAAGACCTAGAAATGATGACCAATCCGGATCTGGATTGTGGTCCTGAAATACCACTTCTCTCTAAATGAAAACATGGTTCCTTGAAGAAATGGCTGATCTCATGTCAGCAACAGAAAATATATAAGACATGTATGAAATAGTTTGTCAAAGAAGGTATCAAAGACCACTAGAGTCATTACAAAAGGAGCTAACTTGAATATGATCCCGCTGGCTAAGGATGAGACAATTTGAGCTTTAACCATACTAATAATTGTAGTGTAGTGCATATAATCAAATATGTGTAAATCTCTGCATTCATAATGATATTAAAACAAAAAAGAATTGATCACCTTTGGGAAATGATAGAGACCAATTCATTATTTAAAAAATTGATAGATAAAGATAATCAAGCATCTATTCTGTTTTTTCTATATGAATGTTGCCACTGGGTAATGAAATAATAGATAAGGAGAAATGCCTATTTCTAAAAGTATTCCAACTAATAAATGAAAAAAATTAGCAGAATATCACATTTTGTAATCTCCAATGAATTAATAATATGGATATTAAGTAATAATTCTTCTGGCATCATAAAAATGAAACCATATATTGTGTGTCTCCTGCAGTCCTGTCAAATGTTAGCCTTGCCAGAGGAACAAAACCTGGGTCTGATGTAATCTCTGGATCCACTTACTAATTTGCAGGAAATATGGAAGATGGAAGGCATGTAAGGTTGTATGTTAAGTAAGAAAATCAGCAGGCTAGGCTGTGGGAAAATCTTTGGGCCAAAAGACTCAAGTATTTCTAGAGGTAAACTATGGGAAATGGATGAAAATTTTATAAATGAAAAGAGACTTAAAAGACACAGTACAAAGGTGTTCATTAATGGTGATTTCTGAGTGGTATAAACATGTTTTGTTGTTGTTGGCCTACATTTCCTATTTTTTTAATACATGTAAACTTTCTCTGTAATAATAATCAGCTATTTCAAATAAAGTAACTGGTTGCCAACAACAACAAAAATACAGTACATTTTTTAAAATGGCAAAACCAAACTCTTGTGCTAGGGATACACACTTGGGTGACAGAACTGTAAGGAAAATAATCCAAGGAGAAGATTACTGTAGAGGTCAGAATAATAATTTTTTTTCTTTGTGTTTCAAAGATGTGGGGTACAATTCAGAGTTAGGTATATAAATGTTCATTATGCATGTACCTTTGCTGATGACGTGTGCCCTGCCTCCCCCAGCAGGAATAATGAGTTCCTATGGAGAGAGAAAGGAATGGGACACATTTAGAAGGGGTCCTATGTGGTAAAGTTCTATTTCTTGATCTGGGTGTTGTTACAAGCAAGTTTACCTTACATTGACATACTAAGCTCTATGTTTGTAGTATGTGGTGTTCTGTATCTTTGTTTTATTTTTACAATAAAATGATTAAAAATACACATTTACCTTATGTAGAGTATCTCCTCTTTCTGGCTATCTCTAACATGCATACAGTCATTTTTAGAGACACACAACAGATACTTGACATTTGAAAGGTCTGTATCTAGTCACCTGTGCTAGTTGTAAAATTTGAAAATACCACTTGAGTATAAAATTTACCCAGTTTCCTTATCTGTAAAATGACCGTAGTAATATTCACCCAGCAAATATGCTGTGAGGCTGTGATAATGAGTGTAATTTTTATATTAAAAGAGAACAAAGCCACATTACAAAATAATTGCTGAGTGGTTAGCTAAGCTTACTCACTATAAGTGTGCTGTTTAAATTTAGAGTTTACTATTTAAATTTGTGCCTAAGCAAAATTATAATGACTGTCATAACCTTTGGAACTGCTAGCAAATAATTAGAAAAAAATTAAGTTAAAAAATGCCCACAATTTACATACAGACCTGGGACCTCTTTCAAACTACTTTTTTTCTTCAACGGCATACTGAATCCAGACTATCAGGAATTCTATTTACTTACAAGGGTTTGGGTCTACCAAAAGAAACAAGGAAAAGGTTTTACTAGTAAAACCCAAGGCAGTAACCAAAAGAAACAGCTTCCACTACAATGGAAGAGGCAGTGCAGAGCAGAGACTAAGAGTTGAGAATGAAGAAATATTCTGAAAAGGTATGTAGTTGACCTGGGACCCATGTAAACAGGGGATCCTAGGTTAAAATTCTGAAGTCTATATAATAATTTCTATTATATAAAATGTAACATGAACAACAAAAGTCAACAAGATCCATGCCTACGTGTGCATGTGCACTATTGCATTGTCCCTATGACATATGAGAAGATAAATACAAGTCAAACAAGATCTCTGCATGAGACATTCAAGTAAAAAGGACAAAGCAGAGAGAAAGAGAAGCATCAACCTGAATGAGCAGATGGGAAGAACCAACTGTGTTCGATGTGAAGTGGTCAACTAGAAAATGAAGAAGAAATAGGGACTCAAGAAAAAGAAAAAAAAAAGAAGAGTGGGCAAGCAAGAGCAGAAGAAAATGTAAAGGATGCTTACCATTTTTAAAGCAAGTCTGAGTAGTTTATTTTAGTATATTTATTTTAAAGTAGCTGGAAGTCAGATACAATCACAGATGTATATCTGGTTTGCAAACAAAAGCTAAATCTAAAACCTGTTTTACAGAAAGTATAATATAATATATGTAAGCTTTATTCCTGATTTGGATTGTATAATCTTGCATATGTTATATATGAAGCATAATTATAAAGATAATGTATCCATTAATTAGTTATTTCATTTTACTTAAATATTTTCGAAAGGATAGTTATTTTCTTCAAATATTTATTCCAATGTATCATTTGTCCTTTGACTTTATGTGTTTGTTGTTGTTTTTTTTTTTGCTGCACCAAAAATTTTTTAAAATATTAAACTGGCAGATTAAGTTTGAATATATTCAAGGTGTACAACATGATGATTCAATATATGTATATTTGTGTAATGATTACCACAGTAAAATCTATTGACAGTTTAATTACCACTCTTGCTGTAAATTTGATACCCAGAACTTGTTTATTTTACAACTGAAAAATTTGCACCCTTTGACCAACATCTCCCAATCCTCCTACTCCCTAGGTCCTGACAACCACTCTTCTATTTTCTTTTTCTATGAGTTTGACTTTTTTAGATTTCAAAAGCACAGTTCTTACCAAGTGGTATACATCATCTAAAGAAGTAAATTCATTAAAGCTAATATTCAGTTTTCGAAGTCCCGTTAACTTGGAGAGCTCTCTCAATTTACTCAAACTGTTTCCATGTAGATTCAGACTCTGAAGTAAAATAACACATAAATTTAAAAATAAAACATTATATTAGACATTATACTGACGTGTGATATCTAAAATGTTTAGAACAATTACTTGAGCCAATAAAATGCAAAATAAGAATGCAGTTATTATAAATAACATTAAGAGGGTACCAGTAAGAAAAAATAGTCTAATTTATTATGTTAAAAGATAAAAATAGATTGTGCTAGTATCACTAGGCCTGGTTTTTGAATAAAATGATTTCCCACCTGGTCTAAGTTTATCAGTAATTGGCATGAAATTCTTTTTAGAAAATAGTTAAATATATGTTAAGATATTTAACGGGTAAATCTATTTCTCAGGCCAATAAGTGGACAATATAAGCACTAAATATTTGGAGAATCAGATAGGCTATCTCACAGGAGAAGACGGCAAGAATACATTATGACTGCAGGAAAACCTATGAGGGCACTGGACCAAGGACGAAGTTCAAGGGTGCTGAAGTAGGAGGACCGAAAATCAGAGAAGGAAGTGGGAGATTGTCTAAGACAAAGTCTAAATCAGAATTTGACCCAGACTTTCCCTGACCATTTCATCCTGGCCTATATAAAAGCTAGCATTATTACAAATATATATTCAGGGGAGATTCTGATGCCTACATACTTTTCTGTCTTTACATCACACCATTGTGAGTGACTGTATAGTTAAGTGTAGCTTGCAAAATAAACAATGGAACAAGAAAATATATTAATGGAATTAACTACGGTATTCACAACAAATGAGTATTATCATGATAAAATCAGGTCTCCTAGACCTCTTCACTCAGCACTACCATCTTATACTTTATACTGTGGACATAACTAAATTCCTGAAAAGGAGAAAAAATTGTCTAATAGCTGTCAAAATTAGCTAAATTTGTTTAAAAGGGCCAACTTATGCAGACTAGTTATTTTACAAGCCACATATGGGTATCATCCATGATAGATTCTACAGATACCTTATAACACATCCACAAATGAATTAATCATTTCTCCTTTATGTTTGATTAAGACTTTTACTATCTATCTAACATATTGTTTATGACCCTCTTCCTCTTTTTTCCTTATACATTTGATTATAGAAATATTTCTCAAGCCAGCTGTACCATCACATCACCACTACCAGTGCTGTAGTACAAACTATTATTTCTCCTTTGGACTACAGCAATAGTTTTCTACTGGATTTGTATATACCAGTCTGACTTCAGTTAAATCCATTCACAAGTTGTCAAACATAGGGTCTTTAGAAACAAAGTCTGTTCCTTAAAGAATCTAAACTTTTAAGTTTGCCTTCTGAAATCCATTCTATTTGTCTACAACCTCCTACTCTTCCATCCTCAGCTTCATGCATCTTCCTTGAATTCCAATCTACACCTTTGCTTTCCACCATCATAATCCTATATCCCAGTCATAGCAAATTTCTCAATGTTCCCTGAAGATACCAGATCTTCTAAGACCATGTGCCTACCAATAATTTTTTCTGTCTAGGAGATGTAAACTAAAATTCTCATATCCTTCAAAAATCCACTCAAAACTCACCTTTCTCTATAAAGCTCTCCCAGCTACTCTAAGCTTCCTACATGCCACAAGGAATGAAAAATAGCCCTACCTTGTGTCACCTACATTTGTCTACGTACATACCTCCTCCACTAAACTGATGTTCTTAAGGCAGGGAAAATAATCTGTTCATTCTGAACCCTCAATACTTACCTCATTCACTAAGACATAACAAATTCTCAGTAAATTCTAGGTGAATAAAGCAATGTAAAAGCTCTAATTTTTAGTATTTAATTGTGATATAAGAGAACATAAAATTATATATTACATATCCCAAGGGGCTTTATTTCTATTTTATTTATTTATTTATTTATTTATTTATTTATTTTTATAGATTTCTTATAATAATTTAGTGGGAAAGACTGAAAAGAAAATAAGAGGAATATATTTCTCTCATAGTAACAACACAAAGGAAGGAGAACAGAGGCTGTGATATCTAAATATTCTTGTCATAATATCTAGCATTCTTACTAGAAGTCCTAGAAAGTTTGCTGGCTTTTAAGTAGCATACATAAATTTAAGGTGAAAAATCCTCTCTATTCATATGTTAGGGGTATGAGCAAATTTTTGTTGTTGTTGTTGTTTTGTTGTTGTTTTTTTAGTTGGAGTCTCACTCTGACGCCCAGACAGGAGTGCAATGCCATGCTCCCGGTCACCGCAGCCTCGACCTGCTGGGCTCCAGCAATCCTTCCGCCTCAGCCTTCCAAGTAGCTGGAACTATAGGCAAGTGCTACCACGCCCGGCTAATTTTTTGATTTATTGTAGAGATGAGGTCTTGCCAAGTTGCCCAGGCGGATCTCGACCCGCGGGCTCAGGCAATCCACTCATCTCAGCCTCCCAAAGCACGGGATTACAGGCTGAGCCACCAAGCCCGGCGGTATGAGCAAATTAATGCTAAGTCAGATAGGGGTCACAAGCAGGCCAAGATATTGTGAAGTCTTATTCTCCTCTTTTTTGTTTTGTTTTACAAAAAAGATACTCAAAAGACCTACTTTCTAGTGCTGGCTTTTTACTTTTATTTAATCCCTTTAAATTTAAAGCAATACATATTGTGTGGATGCTCAATTCTATCAGAACACATTATTTTTTAAACATCTCCTTACTAAAGCTTTACCAAAAAATGTATTACTCGAATATTAAATCTTGACATTACAGTGCAGAAATAATAATTTATCAGTACTGTCAACCAGAAGATGCCTCCTGTAATCACTATAAAGCACAATTATTGAAACAGAACAGGCTTTGTGTTGCACAGCCCTAGGAGGCACCCTACCCATAACTCCCCCTCCCTACCTTGTATTGAGTTCTAGTCAGTTATATAATAAATAGCATCCAAAGGGCACATTAACAGGATATAATAATATGAATGCTGCCTTCTGGAATTGTGCAATATTGCAATGGAAGAGTTAGAGAGTCTGGTTAGAAGGCTGGGGTTGTAATCTAGGTCATAGATTATGCTAGTCTGGATAGAGAAGTAGCAGCAGATCTAAAATGAATGTATCTGAAAGTCAGATATGAAAGTAGGCTTAACATCTCAGTAGAATTGCTTCAGCACAAAGTAAGTTGCTTCAATAAGCAACTCAAATTCTGTTGATTCATTTTGTAACTATAAAGCTTCCATATTCTATGTTAATTAATCTAGAAACTGATTTGAAACTTATGTGCTAACTGGAAGTCTACCTCAAGTGGCTTGGAATGTGGCTAGTCTTAACTGAGATGTGCTAAGATTGTAAAATATTTTCCAGAATTCAAAGACTTAGTATGAAATAACCTCTTTTAATGAAAATTCATATTCTATCATATTAACATGACAGTATTTTATGTATATTGGTGCTATAGTTTGAATATGTCTCAAAAGTTCATGTGTTGGAAACTTAATCCCTCTCCCCTCATAAATGGATTGATGTCACCATCACAAGAGTGGTCTGTTATCTTTGGAGTGAATTTGTTATCAAATGAACTCTCTCTGGCTCTCTTGCTTCTGCCCTCTTGCCATGTGATGCCCTCCGACATTGTAGGACACAGCAAGAAGGCCCTCACCCAATGCTGGTGCCATACTCTTGGACTTCTCAGCCTTTGGGACCATGAGATAAATAAAGTTTTCTTTATATATATAGAGTGAACCTTGGCCTAAAAGGTATTAAAAGGTATATATATATATATATAATCTAGTCTCTGGTATTCTGTTACAGCTACAAAAAACAGACTAAGACAATTGGGTTAAATAAAATGTATTATTAAAGTTAATTTTACCTCCTTTGTTTTTACAATATAGCCATTAGAAAACTTAAAATTACACATGTGGTTTGCATGATATTACTACTGGAGAGCACTGACCTAGTCCATGTAGAAGAAGAGGGCTGGGCACTCATAGATTAGATAGCATGATACTTGGCATGATCAGATAGGTAGTTTAATATCTTTAGACTTCATATGGTAGATTCTGATTCCCCAAATTCAAAATTCTTATCCAAAAGTTTTATTCCTCATAATACTTACCACAATATGACTGTAAAGGCTAGTCTTGGCAAGGGAAAGTATTGTTTTATCATCCAAACTAACAAGTTTTGGTCGGGACTTGACTCTAGGCTCCATTTTGATAACTTCATCATCAAATTTTAAATCCTGGGACAATATTGATCCTTCTGAATTGTTTTTGCTTTCTTCTATAATAATATTGTTGAAGGAAGAAAATAAAGAGTGAACCTTGGCCTAAAAGGTATTAAAAATATTGAAAATTCAGTTGCTGTAGTATCATTTTGAAAAACCAAACAGACTATGTAGAAAAAGATGAATTGACTTTTTTCAGTTATATGGTATTATCTATGATGATCAGAATCACATCAGAAAATCTATGAGAGCAGATTGAGATTGTAGGCAAAGTATAGGTATATCCATTCTCAACCACTGAAGATTTTTTAAATTTGCAAAATATAATTTTTAAATATTTCATAACAGTGGAGAAGGTGCCAACAAAGGACAAGAAATTGTGACACATAAGTTAGAAGAGATTGAACTGACAGACAAATAAGAACAGAAATGTAACCTCTAGCCAAAACATGCAGGAGATAAATACTTTGGAAATCTAGAGAAACTTGATGTCCAGAGTAAATAAATAAAACAGCTGGAGGTTGCTCTAGGTAATTATCAGGTAATTAAGTAATTATGGTAGGAACTGTGAATGAGTAGGTAAGAGCTACCCGAACAAACATTCAGAACTGGCTCTAGAATAAACAAAAATGGTTCATCAGATAATTTTTTTAAAATCTGAAAGAATAAAGCATCTATAATAAGAGAATAGACTGCTATGGGAAAGAATACGATACACATTTCAAAGCTAAAATAAAAACAATTATTAAAATTCAAAATTTAACAGCCAGCCTACTGCTAAACAGACAGAATTGGAACCATTTCTGCTGAAAGCTGGAACAAGACAAGGATGCCCACTCTCACTCCTCCTGTTCAACAAAGTATTGAAAGTCCCAACTAGAGCAATCAGACAAGAGAAGGAAATCAGGGTTATCCACATAGGAAACTAAGAAGTTAAGTTATCCCTCTTTGCAGACAACATGATTCTATACCTCAGAAACCCAAGGGAATTTGTCAAAAACTGCCTTGCACTAATAAAGGATTTTGGCAAAGTCTCAGGGCATAAAATAAATGTGTAAAAGTCAGTTGCATTCCTATTCACCAGCAATAAACAAACAGAAACACAAATAAAAAGCACAATCCCATTCACAATCGCCACACACACAAAAAAATGAAATACCTCAGTATCTTCCTAACCAGAGAAGTCAAAGACCTTTACAACAAAAACTACAAAACACTGCTCAAAGAAATCAAAGATGACACAAACAAATGGAAAAATATTCCATGCTCATGGATTGGAAGAATCAACATTGTTAAGATGTCCATCCTACAGATCTACAGATTTAATGCAATCCTCATTAAATTAGCAGCAGCATTCTTCTCAGACCTGGAAACAACAATATAGGAATTCATATGGAAACATAAACCATAAATTGCCAAAACAATCCTCAGCCAAAACAAAACAAAAGCAAAACAACAACAGCAAAAAAAGAAAAAACAAAGTGGGAGGCATCATATTCCCAGACTTTAAGCTTTATTATAAAGCTACAATCATCACAACAGTCTGGTATTGGTACAAGAACGGGTATATAGACCAATGGAACAGAATAGAGAATCCAGAAGTAAAACCTCAATTTCTCAACCAACTCAACTTTGACACAGCCTCCACTATCAACTACTGGGGAGAGGAGAACCTATTCAGTAAATGGTACTGGGAAAACTGGTAGACCACAGGCAGAAGATTAAAACAAGACCCCTATCTACCACCATACACAAAAATCAACTCTAAATGAATCAAAGACCTAAATGTAAAACCTCAAACTATAAGAACCTTAGAAAATGCAGGAGACAACCTTATGGAAATTGGAACTGGCAACCAATTCATGATCAAAACCCCAAGTGCCTTCACAATAGCAAGAACCTGGAAACAACCATGCTGCCCATCAAAAGAGGACTGGATTAAAAAAATGTGGTACATATACATGATGGAATACTACACAGCCATAAAAAAGAACAAAATCATGAATTTCGCAGCAACCTGGATGGAACTAGAGTCTATAATACTGAGTGACCTCTCACAGAAACAAAGATCAGAATATCACATGTTCTCACTCATATAATGGACCTTGAACATCCAATGTAATACTATAAGAAAATGACTGACGGTACTGGGAAACTATGGAGGGGAGGGGGATGCGATTAACAGTAGCAAATATCTGTCTGGGGCTGGGAAAACACCTCTTATCAACAGGGTGTCTGAATGAAACGTAATTGTACACCTAACCCTTAACTGTACCCCACAAAACCATAATAAAAAATACTGATTAATTATTAAAAAAAAAAAAAAACCCAAGTGCCTATGCCATAAGAGATAAGATAGACAAGTGAGACCTCATCAAACTGAAAAGCTTCTGCAAAGTCAAAAAAAAAAAATTCAGAGAGCAGGGAGACAGCTCACACACTGAGAAAAAATATTTGCCAACTGTATATCTGACAAAGGCCTAACATCTAGGATCTACAAGGAACTCAAATGTGCCAAAAAGAAAAAAACAAACAGTCCCATTACAAAATGGGCAAAAGATATGAACAGACACTTCTCAAAAGAAGACATATGAGCAGCCAACAGATACATGAAAAAATGCTCAGCCTCACTAGTCATCAAAGAAATGCAAATTAAAACTACACTGAGATACCACCTAACTCCAGTCAGGATGGCCAACATCGATAACTCAAAAAACAACAGATGCTGGAGAGGATGCAGTGAAAAGGGAACACTTCTACACTGTTGTGTAAACTAGTACAACCTCTGTGGAAAACAGTTTGGTGCTTCCTGAAAGATCTAAAAATTGACCTCCCATATGACCCCACAATCCCCCTACTGGGAATATACCTGGAGGAACTCGAAATCACTCTATGAAAAAGATATCTGCACAAGCAGGTTTATTGTAGCATTATTTACAGTAGCAAAAACATGGAACTAACCATGCTACCCATCAAAAGAGGACTGAATTTTTAAAAAGGTAGTACCTATACACGATGGAATATCATGCAGCCATGAAGAAGGACAAAATTATGAACTTTGCAGCAACTTGGATGGACTTAGAGGCTATAATACTGAGTGATTTATCACAGAAACAAAGAACCGAGTATTACATGTTCTCACTCATAGGTGGTTCTTGAACAACTATTGTAATATTATAAGAAAGAAATTGGCAGTAATGGGAAACTGCTAGGGGTGGGATTGGCAGTAGTGTGAAACTGTCAGGGGAAGGGAGCACACCTCATCAAGGGTACCTGCATAATGAACATCTGTATACCTAACCCTGAATTGTACCCCACATATTTGAAATTAAGATTTTTTTCAAAAGAAAATTTAATACTCTGAGCAAACAAATGAATATGGCAGCAGATCAAATTAGCAATGTGGAAGCTAATATTGAGGAAATATTTCAGAAGAAAGAATTAAGAAATGGAGATGTAAAATATGAGAGAAAAAAATGAACAGACATGGAAGATCAATTCATAATGTTCAATGTTTAACTAATAGAGGATTCAGAGGGCTTAACAGGGAATGGAACAGAAGAAATAATCAAGGAATTAAGAGAAGTACACTTCCCAAAAATGGAGAAAGAACTGAATCATCAGATCAAAAAGCTCATGAAAGTGGCATGAAGGATGATGGAACTAAGGTTTTTGCTGACATCACTGAACAGTCATTGCTAGGGACTGCCCATCTCTTGGCTTCTTGCTATGGGAGTTAAATGAACTTCTGTTTATTGTTTGCCTTGGTTTCTATATCTTTTTCTAAAAGCATACTTGACAGATACAATCCCACTCATGATACAAATATAAAATACAAATGCCCAGAATGATATAGATATATATAAATGGATAATATTTATCTTATAAATGCCAGAACAGAACACTGTAGATATTGAGTTTGGGGTCTCACTGTATTACCCAGGCTGAGTGCAGTGGCATGATTACAGCTCACCGTAACTTCAACATCATGGGCTCAGACAATCCTCCTACCTCAGTTTTCTGAGTAGCTGGAACTACATGTGCATGCCACTATGGCTGGCTAAGTTTTTAATTTTTTTGTAGAGATGAGATCTTGCCCAGGCTGGTCTCAAACTCCTGGGCTCAAGCAATCTTCCTCCCTCGGCCTCCCAAACTGCTGGGATTACAGACATGAGCCACAGTGCCCAGTCTCCAGAACTATATTTAACAAGAATGCTGAATACGTATATAAAGAAAACTGTAAGAGAGGACCTGAGTAAATAAAGTAAATTATCATGTACCTGGAATGAGAAGTCCAATATCACAAAGTTCTCAGTTAACTCCAAATTAGGCTTTAAATTCAATAAAATTCCAACAAAATCTTAATAAAAGTTTAAAATAGAGCTTGAAAAGTTATTCTAATTTTTATTTGGAAAAGATAATGTCCAAGAATGGCCAAGACAATCTTTTAAAAGATGAGTAGTGAAAGATAATCTGCCCTATCACATATGCAAAGACATCATCACAACTGTAATAATCAAAACAAATGTGGGGTCCAAAATTAGAGATCAATGGAACAAAATAGATGTGTATAAATAGATCACATATATACAAATAATTTTAACAATAAAGAATATATTTCAAAATAGAGAAAAAAAGAAAATGCTTGAACAAGTAAGTACCTGTCCATTTTAAGGCAAAAAAGTGACTACTGCTCTACCTTACACATTATAAAACAATTTCTAGATGTATTTGAAAAACTAAAGGTTAAAACAAGGTATATAAGTATTGAAAGAAAATAAGCCAGGGTGGGAGGGGGCACATAACATCAATAAGGGTACCTAATCTCAAATCAGGCAAAGCAGAGACCAAGGGAGGCCCAAATTTTACCTGTACAACATCCACTTGCATACTTAACCCTGAATTGTACACCACAACTTTAAAATAAAAATAAACAAAATAAATGAGAATATTTTGAAGCAAGAAAATAAAAGCAATAAAATACAGAATTCATACAGAAAAAAACTGAGAAAGATGACCAGGGCATTCTCTTTTCCAATACTAGGGCACTTGGAAAGTGTTAATTTTTTTTTTTTTTTTGAGTCGGAGTCTCGCTCTGTCATCCAGGCTGGAGTGCAGTGGCACGCTTCACGGCCACCAGTCTCAATCACCACAGTCTTGACCTGCTGGGCTCATGTGATCCTTCTGCCTTCCAAGTGGCTGAGACTACAGGTTCGTGCCACCATGCCCGGCTGATTTTTTGATTTGTTGTGGAGACAGGGTCTCGCCATGTTGCCCAGGCTGGTCTCAAACTCCTGGATTCAGGCAATCCTCTCGCCTCGGCCTCCCAAAGTGCTGGGATTATAGGTGTGAGCCACTGTGCTTAGCCTTGGAAGTGTAATGATTAATCTTACC